AATGCGGTGCAGGGAAGATGCGTTGTCCGTCTCATCACTGTTAGTATATTTTTCTCGTTAACCAGCTTTGCTATATGGCTTGGGGTCCTGGGGAACAGCGGAAACAGCTGTCTGTTCGGGCGGCCCATATGATTAGCAGTTAGCAGCAGCCGGAGGGGGAGGAGGAGGAGGAGGGCCCTGCCCTGCAAATAATGGTAAGTTGCCAGGGCGCAAAAGGACTTTTTTTTCTCCCCTCCTCCAGACTCCACTCCAGCTTCCAAGTCAAAAGCCCTTCCCGCGGCCAAGGCAAACGGCGAGGCAAAAGCTACAGTGCAGGGCTGGCCGGGGCATGCCTGCATCATTGCACCCCTAACCCTAACCCTAACCCTTCTCTGTCTCTTTTCTGAATATTTTTGTGTGTGATGCTCTGTTGGATGGTATCCTAGAGACCCACTCCTACACTACCCAACCTACCTGCGAGGCCGGCCAGCAAAGATACCACTCTGAACACTCAACAACAAATAAAATAAAATACCAAGACACTTTGGACACTCAACAAATAAAAAAATAAATCAAGGCATTGCATGGCAGAACACATGGCTACTTTGTGTGTATTCCGGTGGTTTTTGCTTGGTGTGGATAATCATGTGGATAGGGGTGGGTGATTTGCCCTGCCCATGCACGTTACTGGATGAATAAATCTTGATTGAGTTATGGGGACTGGGGAGTGATACTGATGCATATTGATGCCCATGCACTGCTTTGTCCATGCATGTGTGTCATTAATTAGATTGCGCTGGACGGTTGTATTGTAGGGCTGGATGAATATGTAGCTCGTGACCCGCCAGTTAAACTCGGCTTTGGCTCCACTAGGAGTGAGACCACTGTCTAACATCGGTATTAGATGGCATTTTGATACAACCCATGTGTTGCTTTTGTCCATACGTGAGTGACGTTAACTCGATTGAGCTGGATGGTTGGCTTAAGGGTGTACCACCACCGCTTCCCGTTGGCGTAGGGCTCCACGAATAGCTCCAGCCTCGTGAACTGCTAGTTAAACCACTCCTTGGCTACACTCACTCGAGATCCACCGGGAGCAAAATGACTTGTTAGCATTGACCATTATGTGGGTGTAACCAGCTTGGTCGATGTTTCCAACTGTGTGATTGATCTTCTTCTTTTTTTCACCGAGGATAATGTAGGCTTATGGCATATGCCACGTTTAATTAGAAGTGGACTATAAATCTTAGGGCTTCAATGGTTTGCATTATTTTTCTTTGGTAAATACGTGTACAACAATATGTTAAGATGGACTTGAGACCGCAATGACGCAACACTTACCCCAGGCAGGCCTTCCACCGACGGGCGCTTAAACCCTTTCATCGGCAAGTTCAGCACCCGCCAGTGGTTAAGTGCAACGGAAGTAAAATATGAAACACCGATGGTCATATGCACGCCAATAGTAATGCAGCCTCCTATAACAAAGGGAAAGATTGTGACAGGACCAGGCGGTGCGTCGACACGCTCTCCTAGCTTGCCACCATCCGCGACACGATCTTCCATCGCCGTTTGATTTGTGCGTGCAGGGCTCCTTGCACCGCTTGACACGCTCGTCATCCAAACGATGAGCTCGTTCGGACATGTCCACTCCAGGGCTGCCTGGTCTACCGCCAGGGCTGGTCTACCGCCAGGGCTGCCTGTGCCCCTATCGATTGATAGGTTGCAGCGAGAAGCAGACCCCTCGATATTTTTGTTGTGAAGCGTCTCTTGGGCCGCTGGTCCTCACACACACACACACACACACACACACACACAAACCCTAGCGCTAGAGGCGGGAGGCAGCAGCAGTATTTCCCTTGCTCCAAGTCCCCCTCTCCACAGCATGCGTTTTGTGTCCAGCCAGCCAGCCAGCCCGTCCATGTGCGTGTGAGCCGGGCAGCAGGCAGGCGAGCTGCGGCGCCGGGCCAGGGCCGACGGCCGGCCATGCGTCGCAGGCACACCGCGCACACACATGGTAGGGCAGGCAGCCAGCCGGGCGGCGCGAGCGACCAGTTTAACCTTTTTTCACCGGGGCGTGTCCACGTGAAAGATGAAATAAAAGAAAATCTACGGCCTGCGTCGCTGTCACGGGAAAGAAAGAAAGAAAGAAAGAAAGAAATTTAACCCAACCCGTACACGCACGTCCGGCTCCGGCCGGGGGGGTGACGCGCCGGTGATCGCACCCGTCCATCAGCGCCGGCGGACGTCACCCGGGAGCATCATCCCACACTAGTTGTTAATGCATGCGGTATCATGCATTTTCTTATCATCAAGAGACTGCAATTTTGTGCACGCAAGCAACCTTTGGAAGAGAGAAGAAAAAAGAGCATGAGAGTGACTACGACGAAAGAAAACACACATGCTAGTTGAGGCCGTTACTGTCAATGGAATGGAATGCAACTTCTATGAGGCTAATCACGTCCCGTCCCGTCCCGTTCCGTTCCAGGGAGGAGCCATGGGCCGATGGGCATCACAAGGGCCATACAGCAGGAACAAGATAGGGAAGCAACGAGGTTTTTCCCTCGCGGTGTCAATGAAGAGGCAGTGCAGTCCTGGAGATGCAGGCAAGGCAAGGTCTCTTCTCTTGTGGCCTAGGGGGCAGGGCAGGGCAGGGCAAAGTGAAAAACATACTAGTACTGTATGTGAAAAATGGAGCATAGCCCGGCTAGGGCATCCAAGGTTAAAAAGGCCAATCGAGTCGGACTCCCCCTCTTGGCCGGGCGCTATCTGCTATGGGTCCCCCGCCCGCTTCCCTGTCAATTGCCTATTGGCAACACAAAACGTTTTGTCACTAGTATATCTCATTGTTGCTTGTGGTATGCCCCATGTAGGAAATCTAATTGGACGGATCCGTCAATTGCACGGTCCGCGTCTACTCTACTCAAATCTTAGATGTGCCACGCGCCACGTCAATTTACCATTCCCTTTTGAATCATCAAATGGTTAAATCCACATCGGTATACCATAGACAGTGCTATGAAATATTGTTTGGAATGCTTTATCTGGAGCTTCTATTTATTTGCCAAGAGCATTTAAGTTACCATCAAACGCAGTACCTTAAATATGTTCATAGGCACCATGTTGCAACGAGTGAGTATCACCGTAATATCACGATGAAGATTAATCTACCTGCTACCATCTAGTCGGTGAAATATATTCAGCCGCACTTTAATACCTTTTCATTCTCTTTTTCCCGTACGAAATGGAGAAATGGGGGAACATCCTTGATAAATTCATGTTTTCTACATTGTTTTTTTCTCTCCACACGCCTCACCTTGTTCGTTCGCTAACTACAAAGGCAAAGCAGCCGTATTCTCGTTCATTTCACACTGTTAACTATTTGGCACGACAAGTATCACTAGCCACGCTTTATTAGTGATTGTCTGATTAATGAAATATATGAAGCTGCACTTTAACACCTTTTCATTTTGTTTTCGTGCGAAATGAAGATGCATCGGATATCCTTGACAACTCATACTTTACGTTGTTTTCCTACACGCTTCGCATTGTTTGTTAGATAACCACAAAGCCCACCAACCCTAATTTTGTGCCTATCATGTGTATTCTACAAGAATCCAAAACATGTATGTTCTTTGCAAGCCATCCCAATGCTTTTAGTTAGTATCGCTAACGGTGTTTTTATATATTACTTGGAACAGTTTGTTTTGCTGGCCTTTTGGATTACCAAGAGCATTTTAGGTTACGCGTCTACACTTTTTATTTGTACCCAAAAGATATATACTTGAAATATATTTTTCACATCAGTCATGCTATGGTATATTTCGGTAAAGATCAAGTCCTTTGTGACCTTCTGATTACTGAGTTGTATTAAACTGCACTCTTACACTATTTTTAAAATCTTTTTCTCATAAAAATAGAGATGCAGCAGATATCCTCGACTACCCAAAATATTTACTCCCTCCGTCACACGATATAAGATGTTTTTGCAAGCTAAAACAGTTTGGAGGGAGTATGATGGTTTATGACACTCTGTTAGTTAGTGTTAGTTAGTACTGCGAGCGGAAGGTGGTACGATAGATTAGCCGAAAACATAGATTAGCCGAAAACATACTACGACGATAAAGATTAATTTACCAGCGATTGCCCGGTCAATGAAACACATTGAGCTGCACTTTACACCTGTCTGTTTTTTCCAAAAGAAATACGGATGCAAGGGATATCCTCGACAACTCATACTTTTCACCTTGTTCCCCTACACGCCTTGTATGGTTTGTTAGATAACTACAAAGCCCAACCAACCCTAATCTTGTACCCATTGCCTGTACGCTACAACACTCCAAACTTGGTATACACTCTTTGCCAGCCAGCCATCCATCCGTGGTCGACATCCATCACACGATGCTCTACCATACCATCAGCATTGCGGTTCACTCCGCTTTCACGCCGCTCGACACCAACAATTTACACGAAAACACACGGTAAGTAAGCAAGCAAAGGAGATGAAAACAAAATCCATCACTTGGTACAATTGTAGGTGCACCGAAGTCACATGTTCATTGATACGCGCCGTGCCGCCGCACGTCGCCGTCGCCGGCCCGGCGGCCAACCCATCCGCCCTCCAAACAACAAGCCCGCCCCATGGGCTGGGTTGGGTTGGGTCCCCGTAGCAGAAAACCCCACGCCCCCATAAAACCAGCCCCGCCATGGCCGGCTCCAATGGCAGCGCACTCTCTCTCTCTACCCCCAAAACCCCATTGCATCCCGGCTTTCAAATCCGCCACCTTTTCCCCATCCCGGCTTTCAAATACGCCCGAGAAGAGGAGAGAGAGGAGGAGGAACCCAAGGAGCAGGCCGGCCTCAAAAGAACCACTCACCTTCCCGCAGCCACTCTCTCTCTCTCTCTCATCACGCACATCACACACGCCCGCTGGTAGCTGCTTCGCTCTCACCGGTAGCTAGCCGGCGGTTGGAGCGGAGCCCCTGCTGCTGCGGCCGCTTAGAGGAGGAGGAGGGCGGGAGCAATGTCGGAGCAGCCGTTGCCGCAGCCGCGGAGCAGCATGAGGGAGGCGCTGCAGAAGGAGGACAAGGAGAAGGCGTCGGCGGCGGCGCCCAAGGAGAAGGCGGCCGTGGCCCCGCCGCACGTCGCCGCGCCCCCCATGGCCAAGAACGGCGGCGGGAACGGGGGCAAGGGCGGCCACGGGGCCCAGCCGCCGGCGGCGGAGGAGACGACGCGGGAGATCCAGGTGGTGCGCGAGGCGTACCGGCAGCCGGCGGCCCCGGCGTACGTGATGCCCGAGGAGCCCCCCGCCATGGTGGAGCTGGTGGGGTGGTACCTCTACGGCTTCTGCTCCTTCTTCATCACCCACCTGCTGCTGCCGGTGCTGTTCCCGGCCATCGTCACCCAGGTCGCCTTCCCCTCCTCCGACTTCACCCCCGAGGCCAAGTACACCGTCAAGGGCGCCTCCTGCTCCGTCCACGAGATGTCCATGTAAGAAGAAGAACAAGATGCCTCTCCCCACTCCCTCCTCTCTCCTCTCTTAAATCTTTGAATTTTTTTTGGAGTTCTTGGCCGTTTCTTGTGGTTTTTAGAGGGGTTTTGGGCCAGATTTGGGGGACCCTGTCCAGTTTCTTGGGGTGCTTTCTTGTGGTTTTTAGAGGGGTTTCCACACAGATTTGCAGATTTGTTTTCTTGTTCCTGTATTTTACCTCCCCTGTTCCTCGCTTCCACACAAGTTCAAGCCAGATTTGCTCACAAGCAAGCAAGAAAATAAAAATCCTCAGTGTTTTTTATGGGAAGTAGCAATCTTTCCTTGCAGTTTTAGGGCTATGCGACAGTGATTATTCTTGGAGTGCTACCACTATTTTCCTCGAGAGCTTGTTCTCATCTCACCCAGTGTCTGCCCAAAATTAAAAAAGGTTCTTGTTTTTGTCTGCAAACGAGGAAGCATCAGCATGGTGCTCCCCCCTTCCTTGCCTTGCGGATTTCAATTTGTTTTGGCCGTTTCTCCTGCCGCATCCCGTGATCTCCTCTGTACTTCTGCTCACTATTATTCAGTATTTGTTTTTACCCATTTTTTCATATTTATTTGTCATCTTTCTGCTACTGTGTGCAAGTACAAGTATATGATTTACCCTGTCTGTTCGGGCGGTGTGGGTGCGTATATTGCGGCGTATATGCGACGAAAATACCTAGGAGATGAGAGAAATGATAGGATGCGTCGTGATACCTCAGAGATTCCATGCTCCCTCGCTTGCACCTCCATTATTATCAGTAGCAAGAAGATAAGAGATTCTTGGTGCAAGGCTCCAAAACATGGCCACTGTTTTTTGGTCCTAGACTACTAGATGCAGCAGATAGCTCAGTGAGGAGGCCACATCCCATTATTTTCTTTATTTTTCAGCTAAATATTATTTCCCCAGGATTTTTCTCCCTGCCTATAGTTATATCTACCTACACATATTAAAAACTGCATCATTTTTTGTCAGCTAGCCCTGC